AAACTAAAAAATTAATTTTTACTTTGTCTTATTTAACTCTGTCTGGGGTGAGCCAATTTAATGTATCTGTTGTACGGTTTATTTTATTGCACTGTGAAAAAAACGCTACTGGTGAAATATTTTGAAATTTAACATGAACTTTTTCCAGGTTATGTAGTTTTTGAAGATATTTTTATAAACCTGCAGCTTTGCAAAAATATTTTTATGAACTTGGTTGCTTTGCAAAAATATTTTTTAGAACTTGCAGCTTTGCAAAAATATGTTTATGAACTTGGCAGCTTCGCAAAAATATGTTTATGAACTTGGCAGCTTCGCAAAAATATGTTTATGAACTTGGCAGCTTCGCAAAAATATTTTTATGAACTTGCAGCTTTGCAAAAATATTTTTATGAACTTGGAGCTTTACAATATGTTTTTCTTAAGATACAATTAAAAATACATTTGTTGTTGATTTAAATTACTGGCATACAATACATTCAAGCAAGTTATTTAGACTGATAAGGCCCAAAGTAAACAAAGTACAAGTAGCACAAAAGCCTTTTTGGCAAAACAAAACTTGATACGGTTCAATGCAACATGACCTAACTATGCCTGCCTACTCTTCTTCCATGAAAAACATTTCTTTTCCTGTCATATTTCAGCATCATAATTTAAGTGGAGTGTAAAATAAAGCAAGCTTTATATATAAAAAAACAACAGAAAATTGGGACTGTAATTGTAGAATTTTGTCAAGTTTAAAAACAACTTAAGTAAAATGTTATGCACTGAAGAAGAAAAATAAATAGCAACTGAGACAGATTACCAGTATAAAAATGGTATTACACGAATAACTGTTAATGTTGACAGAGAATGGTCAGAAAAGCTATGGACATTTCTATTGTGCAAAGTCAACTTGAACTGTTATCACTGGTGCACAAACACAATCTAGAAAATATAAAAAACCATCAATATTGGAAGAACTGATATGGTCCTTTAACAAATAATAGTCTGATATCATAACAAAAGGATCTCAGGTCAATGAATACAAGCCCAGTTTATGGTACTAAAATGTTACTGTTGATTCCAGACAATAAACAGTTATTTTTTGAGAGGTCCGCATATTAAAAATCCATCAAAAAAAAAAGGAGTCACCTGAAATGCCAGATTTCTCAGCAGTTATCACAAAAGTGGAACAGTTTTATGATGAACTATGAAATTGACCAAAGCATTTCCCAAGTTATCATTTAGACTGTAGAGAACACATTACCGGGGCCTCACAATGAGTGTGAAGTCTAATACAGGTTACTTATTGAACAGTGTTACAGGCAGCTAGTCCTAATGGTCTAGGTCGGTGTTTCCCAAAGGGGTCAAAAATGGCCCCTAGGGTAGGGTTGGCCTATGTAACTAATTGCCCTATGCCTAGTAGCAACAGTGTGTGTAGCAACAGCGAGAAAATGACGTTCGGTCCTTTTCTAAAGTATTCCACAGTGTATAAATTTACGCAGTGATGAAAAATACATATTTTAAATATAAATTTTAATTTAATTACTTGCTTTATTTTATGCTTCTTAAAAAAATATAATAGTATTATGATTATTGAAATAAATAAATTCATAAATATTCATATGCTTGTTAAAGCCCATCCATCTCATAGAGAAAATTAAAACCTCATTCTTTTTTGAATTTTAAGTTTCCTAACGATTGTATTATGGTGAATAAAAATTGATTATATATTGAAGTTTCACTTATAATTTATATTATAAGAATTTAGGGGTCAATGACAACTTTATAAGTTCATCAAGGGGTCAACAACTCAAAAAGGTTTGGGAAACCCTGGTCTAAGGGAAGTGATATGTTTGTTGGAAGTGACCTTAAATGACCCAGAAGTTAACAACTGCCAATGTAACTGAAACCTTTAAAACAGTTTTTTTTTTACAGTGTAAATATGAATGCTCAGCTAACTTTGAAGAGAAAACATTATGATTTTTTTAAATGAATAGGCATTTGCATGTCACTGGTATGGAATATTGTGGTTTCAAAATCTGAACTTTTAAGTCAAAAAACAAAATGAAAGAATTCAACAAAACCTATAATTTTCCTGAACTGACGACTCATGAATTCAATCCAGAATGGAAATAAAAGAACCAAAAGCATATGATATTTTATAACCTTCTTTATTTCATAGAAAAGACTACATTGGCAAAAAATGTGGAGAAATATCCAAGATATTAAAGTTAAACTAAGCTATTCACAATGTTTATATATCAAGATTTAACCATGAGGTATGAAAAAATTAAGAAGCTCTCTTGTTATAAGTATATAGTTAACAGATAAAAAAATATATACTGTGTTAAATAACCATCAACTTTACAAACCTCCAAGAATAGTAGAATCATCCACTGCTGGCTCTGACACTTCAATAAGAACCCCTGGTGGAAGCGTAGGAGGTGGACGAGTTTCACTGAGTTCAGGTGGATGTGTTACAGGCTCAATCCCACATGTATCCTCTCGAACAGTTTCAGGGTAGGCTCTAACATTGGAACGTCGACTTTCCTGAAATAAGCGTCTTAGGGGGAAATGGTCATCAAACTGGACACGAGAAATGCATCCAATAAATCCATCCCCACTTTCCATGGTCTCTGTTGACAGAAATTAATTTTTTAAATCCTGCTCTTCTGATCTCAACATCATTTCAAAGAGATATATCACAAAACATTAACTTTTGAGAAAGAAAAGTACTGAAAAGATTAAAACATTTCATTTTTATATTAATTATTTATATTAGATCTTTAAAAGCTTTTTTAAGTCCAGTCTCACATACACAATGCTTATTATAGATTTTTCTTCTTTAAGTAAATATCTTGAACAAATTATTTATCAGAATGTCTTCAGTATGAAAGACTATCTTATACTACTAAGTTTTAAAACAATACTTTTATTGATAAAGCAGAAATTAAATGATTTTAAATAATCATAATTATCATGTTATTAACATAATCCAGAACAGATATTTGACATAAGATGTATTAGAAACCCTAAAACACTGTTATATAAAATGAACTTACCATTTCTGCCAACATAAATACTTTTTAGTCTGTTAAACTGAGCATCTGCTTTTCCTTCTATTTTGAACGTGTACACAAGAGGTTCATGGTTGTCAACCTTCCAAAAAAATTACATAAAATTTGTTTATAAGGAAACACGTACATTGTCTCGTAGATACTCTTACAAAAAAACTTTGCCAGAGTTTACATACATTTCTTTATTTAATATTTTGAAGTACTTTCTGGCTCAGGGTTACCAGTTACCAACAATTCAGATAAATAACTATAACAATAAGGTTTCGAACTTGATCACTTTCATTTGAAGTTCTAAGTGTTTGAACACGTCAGTAAAATAAAGAACAAGCAACACAAAGAGCACAGTGAAAAAAAAACGACATTAGTAGGAGAAAGATAGTTTTTTTTTTTAAATTTCAGCTGACAATTTTTGTCATAATTCAAAAGAGAACTAACTGATAATTTTAACTAGACATGCTAAACAAAGAGTTCATGATTGGTTTTATGTCCAGAAGTATACTTACATAAATAGTCATCTTGGTACCTTTATCAGAACGGACTATTTTAATATCATGGTTCTGTCCTAAAGCAAAGTTTTCATTTTTTATAATGATTTCTTGTCGCTCAAAGCCAAAGTCAAACACCAAACGCAAATGACCTGCAAACAGAAAATTCTTTTTTTATTATTTTTCAAACCATTTGAAAGTTAAACTATAATTTCAACATTGAACAATCCCACAGTTATGACCTTACATTAAAAAACAGATTCATTCTGAATAATGAACATCTAATATTACCATATCCAAAAAATAAAACTTTGAACAATATATCTTGTATCTGGATATCTTGCATCTCCAAAACCCACTAAACTAAAGATCAAAATCATAACACGGTTATTGGTTTACCAACATTCACATCTATATTTAGAACTTGGTTACATTCTCACAGTGATTATCAACACTTCTTCCTCAAAGGTCAAAGACACACGCTTGAACAGATTCTTAAATGCTCACTAACTTTAACTTCATTACATTCTGTTAATAATGTTCTGGGAGATTGCCACTGTAAATGTTTATTATTCACTTTTATTTCTAAGATTACTTATGCCTTTCTCTGTTGAAGAGATTACTAAAAATGACACACTTTTCAACAAGATATTTTAAGAATCGATTTTAACAGCCGATGAAAGACTTTGTTTTGTGTTTTGTCTTGCTATAACAATAAAAGGAAACTACAGAAGAATTATTGTGAAAACAATTCAGAGCAATAATAATGAGTTTGCAACAAAGTTTTACTACATGACACATCCCTCCATTTTGGACATTATTGGTACCTTCCAATGAAATGTAAGCTAACTTTATATATCAGAAAGTAATAAATCAATAATGATTAGAATGCATTAATTCATCACTTGAGTGTCCACTCACTATTGATAATATTTTCTAGCTGCAAAATCAATAATGTCTCATGATGATCAGCTAAATTCAGGAAATTAATTTAATCCTAAATCCACATACTAAGCTAACAGTGTAAAATATATTCACAAGAGTAAAATATGATCAGCTAAATCAGGAAATTTAATTTAATCCTAAATCCACATACTAAGCTAACAGTGTAAAATATATTCACAAGGGTAAAATCTAATAAACAATAATGATACTTAAAATATGATGCTTATTTTACTTAAAGATCAAGTCAGAAATCTACACAGGTCTTTTGAGCTGATAATATAGCTACTAAAGAAGCTACTAAAGACCTCAGTTATGCCATCTGACTTACAATATCTCCTGGATGTTAGCCTCAGGCAGGTTTCAGGAAATCTTGTTTCACATGAGAAGTAATGGTACTTAATCAACAAGGAGATTTCTTTGTATATAAACCTAAAGGTTATGAAATGCATGTAACTTTACTTCTTTTGTCTCTTCTGATGCTTAAATTATAACTTATTTTTTTGTCTGATCCAGTCGATGCATAGCCTTGACAAAAAAAACTTCTCTTTGACCTAATTCAGGTTGGTTAGTTCTGGTGATCCAATCATTTCAATATTAACTCTAAAATGCCCAGGTGCATCAATCTGAAACACCTGTTGTATAGTTTCTTTTACTGAATTGCAAAAAATAAACAAAAAATAGTTTGTAATTTGAGATAAACTTTCTACACGTTATGTAGTTTCTGTGAAATAAAATATTTTTCTAAGTGGTATTTATTATAATGATACTCAGCTTTTGTCCATCTTGAAAATGTGTGCACACCTTACCATCTAAATGTCCATGCGTTTGCACTTCATTTCAATGGATGTAAACAGAAGGTAGATATAAGTCTACTTTAGTAGACATTTTGTACAACAACATATTAAAAGCTTATCAAAGTTTTTAAAAAGGTCTAACATTAGGTTGTAGAATAATGTTAAAGTTTATTTATTGATAGTATTAAGTACAGTCATGTTTAGCCCAAACTAAATTAAAACAAAAAATGTACACAAGTTACAGTGTTAACTTATCTCTTTATGAAATATAGGGTGCACTTAATAAAGGCATTTAGGCCTAAGACAAGTGGGCTTGCAGATTTCAGTGTTTGCAATTGGAATTCCTTTGCATTATTCCAGAAATCCTGTATTTAAATAAGTACTGTTGCAATTAAGCTACTAATTTGAACACATCTGTGGGTCTTTGGAAAATTGTATGAATTTGTAGCATTGAAAATTCAAACAGATTTCATTATATTTTTTAAGAAACAAAACTGGTCACATTTTTTCATAGATTTCAATTACTGATTTTAATGTCTTCCAACATTCTTATAAAGTTTTTATTTTATAAAACTTTGTTTGTTTGTTGTTAAGCACAAAGCTACACAATGGATTATTTGTGCTGTGCCACCAAACATATCAAAACACAGTATTTAGCATTATATACCTTTAGACTTATCACTGACCCAATGGGGGGTGGGTCTTATAAAACTTTAAATTTTATCTTTGGTCTGATTTGAAAATTACATCACACAGTTTCACTTTCTTTACCATACGAAAATTATATACAAGCCAAGTTTTTTTTATTGTTAATAAGAAGGTTTCATCTTAATATATGTACGAAGTTTTACATTCATTTATATATTTGTTCTACATTTCTTTTCAATGATTTGCTTTGCCCACTCAAGCTGTTACTTAGGCTGATAAGGCCTAATGTAAACACAGCTTAATAATGTTAAATACTATTACAGCTTAAGCAGAAAATGCAATTATTTCAGACACTTAAGGGTATGATATATAGCATTCACTGAGTAAAAATACTGAATGTAAATTCACAGTTGATTTGGGTTTCATCTTCACAAGCAAATAATGGAACTTTCATTACTGCTTTTACAATCACTTTAGGTAACAAGACAGAACTGCTAGTGAAGTATCCTTGTGATGAACACTTGATCTTTAAGCCAGAAATGAGGTTTTCATATCAAATATGTTTTCTAATAATAGAGATGTGCAATTAAGAGTTTCACTTCTGTGTTCAATGAAAACTGCCTATTAGTTTATGTATCAGTGATTCTTTTGCTTGAAAACTTTACATACCCATGCACTTACCTGTGAAATTAAACACGATTTATATAGCTTTACACTTACATATAAACGTTTCAAACAAATTAAGATTTAAAAGTCTGATATTGCATTACCCTAGCATAGCTCAAGAATTGTTTTACCACCACAAGCTCAATTTCCTTTTGTAGGTGTTGACATCAGTAAACCTACTTAATCTGCCTCATCTCTGAAATCTTTGCTTTAATAGGTTTACTTTGATTGAGTAAACATAAGTGTTCAAAGGGTTTGAGGAATTGTAACTATTCATGATTTATATGAACAGGTTTCTATAACATCTTACATATCTTTTTTTTTTCCAATAAACAGGCTTATGAATTTGCGAGTCATCATTACCATTAGCAACAGAAAGTTGAACAATCACTATAACTGAAAGTAGCATTTGCTGACATGTTTGCTGAAATGTGCTCATACATATTCAAAATAGCTTATCAAGAATTACACCTTATGTTAAATCCTGTTTTCAAGAACCAAGTACAAACAGAATTCTGACTGAAATACATAAACTATGCTTCAAAATATGATAATCAATATTACATATACAATTTTTTTCTCATGACAATTACTTTTAACATTGTAAAATAAAATCATTTCAATGGACAATTCCAGGTTTACCTAAATGCCAATTTTTGGAATTGAAATTTAACTGTAAGCAAAAGTGACTTACCACTTGTTGACATCACAAGACTTAAGTACTCGCCCGTGAAAGAGGAGACACCTACAATCAGGCCATGGTGCTCGGTGGTGGTAAATTGGACACGAATATATTCTTCTAAAGTTGAGATTGTTGTCTCAAAATCATATCTGATGTAGTCCTCAGCTCGTAGGTTCACTCCAATCTCTGTAACATATTACATCTTATCGAGACGTGGAGTTAAACTTATAAATCTCATTGTCATCAATGCTAAAACTGTAACAATAGCTACCATGCTGTATCCAAAACTTACTATTAAAATATGATGCATGAATCAAACAAGCAGGTTGCTCATGATTAGAAAATAAATGATATCACATAAAAGCAGAACTAAGAATGTTTTCAATTATAATAAAAAAAACAATATTTATATACAATAATAAAATATGACAGCTTACTTGTACATCCTAAATACTTCCAGTAGTACACATTATGCCATAATGATGTGGACAAGAAGATGTACTGTCATTTAAACACATTTTAGTCTCACTGAACATTGCCTTCTAGTGAATACGTTCTAACACTGAATCATTAAGTTTCTATGAAGTTTTCAGACATGTGTTAATACATTAAAGGAATCTGTTGCAAGAATATATGAAATATCTGGATAGTCTAAGGTTATTGTGGTGTAGGAGGACATTATTTAAACCTGCATGCACAATTACAAATATAAGGTCTACACACATGATTCTAATTTATAAGAGACTTCAAATTTAAATATCATACATGAATAGTAGCTAGATGACAAAATGCAACATGTTCATTACAAATGGCATATCGACTTTCAAATTAAAACACAATATCAAAGGTTTACATTACATTTTAACTTAAAATAAGTGATAATACTCAAGTTTTATCTTTCTAAACAAAATTAAAGATGGATTTTTTTTTTATTAATAATAATGGCAATATTAAAAAAGTTTCAATCTTTGAATCATTTGCAGTCAACTTCAGTTCTAGAGGTCAAAAAATGTTATCACATAATAATTTAATTATTTGGTGCTTCACTTCTACTGAAGTTTAATTATACTGATTATCACTCATAAAACTTGAGTTGCTTCATTTACTTTCTAAATATCTTAATCTATATTCTCAGATAACTCTTTCACAAGAGCTCTCATCACAACTTTCTTATTGAATTTGGATAAAAATATTTAACACAGTATGACGCAGTTATTCTGCCAAAATTTACATCATAAGTGTGTGTGACAGCTGTAAATGAATCCAAATTAAAACAATAATGTGTCATTTAAACTTGATTTGACAATGTAGCACTGTCCATACTATTTACATATAACATGCATTCATTATAGATGTATAATATGTTTAAACATGACTTCACAACAATATAATTTGTTAGAAAGTACCTATTGATGTCAGTGGTGTCTATTTAACTTGCTAATACAAAAAAGTTCCTTACATATTGTATGAAAAAATAAAAGTGAAAACATAACTTACCATCTGCACAGATAGGACCTTTAAATGCTGTCCATTGACAATCACAGAGGTAATTAGAATAGCCTTCAAGGCATGTACCATTGTTTAGACAAGGGTTGCTCTCACATTTTCCCACACAACCATCAGTTATTCCATATAAACCTTCTCCAACAATGTTTCTCAAGTCTATCATCTCTCCATTCAGTAATAAGGCTCTTAGGCAACCAACATATCCTTGTCTGTAGTCTACTGTAGCACCTAAAAAATACAGTATCAACTTTTGTATCCAAAACACTAAAAATTTTGAAACTTTAATTCTAAGCCCTCTATTCAAGCAATATAAAAACATTAAATATGAAGGGAAAAATATGCTGTTAGACCCAGTTGCCAATATTACTTTCATAAACCATAATAAACATGCGTAAACACTATAGTCTATCAAACATTCAACTGTAACTTTCTGAAGAAAAGTCAATTTCATACACCAAAACATTTTCCTGACTATGAAACAAAGGAATCTTTAAATAACATTGGGCAAAACAAAATAAAAAATTTTCTGCTACTAGAAAAAATGCAACCTCTTCCGAGTAATTTGATGATACTGATTCTAAAACCTATGTTGAAAATTACTGATCACTAAGTATTAACCAGAGGTATACATAAACTATATATTTTGTCAGTGGTATGTGTGCAACAATGTATCTGAAGCTTTGATGAAAAATTCCTCCATTGTTGGTTGTAATCTTCTAAACATAGATTTTTTTTTTTTACACTGGCTGTTAAAATCTGTGGTTATCTTGGATGAAATTTTCATTCATTCATGATGCAAAATACATTTCCTGATTCTATAATCTTAGTGGATAACTATTTAGTGGATAAATAAAAAGTAGTACCAAGAAAATAGTGTTTCCGATTACCACTGTCATTGATTATTCCAATTATCCAAGTAATTGAAATATGATTTCTCATTAATATTTTCAGTTAATTCAAGGTTCTTCATCTTAATCGATTACTATCATGATGCACAAAAATAAATAACTAATCAAAACTAGTATTTCCAGTTATTGCTATTAATGATTATTCCAACCACCCAAGTCTTATGTGAGAATAATCAATTAGGTGAATGTACCTGATTAAGAAACCTGATAATTAATCAAATATCAAATTCTACTAACTGCTCAGCTCTACAGTGAAACAAACATGAAAGATATTAACATACTGTTACAAGCTATGCCACGAGCTACATAATGAGGTGAAAAAAAAGTGTACATTCAAAATATTTATGTGATCAATAACTGCTAAAACATAGTGGTTGTTACAAAAACCTTTCTGTTTTCTAGGAAACCTTGAATTATTTCTGATCATGCAAAATATAAGTTATTAGTTTAACTCTTAGTCTGAAATATTCATAAATCAAAATGTAACTAAACTTTAACTTAAAATTTTAACACTTACCAATAACAAGCTGGCTGGTCAAATACAAGGCTCGCACTGGTCCAGAGCTTTCTCGAACTTCCCCACTCAGGCTTCCATCCACCACAACCCGGGCTTCTTTGCGATTACGTTCTACTAATACAGAATGCCATTCATCGTTGTTAAGCTTGTACGTAGTTTCTAAACTAACTCCAAGTGGCCCATTACCAGCATGGTACTGGAACTGTATCTGGTCTCCACCTTTAAAAACACAGAGAAAATACTTTTGTTCATTACTTAACAGTCATATGGTATGCTACTGGATATACCCATACTTTTCATTACTTAACATTCATATGGTATGCTACTGGATATACCCATACTTTTCATTACTTAACATTCATATGGTATGCTACTGG